AGCGGAGCATTTAATAGCGGGTACTTCGTAAACTGCTTCTGTGTCAAAGTTTGATAACTAAAGCTTATATGTGTTTCGTATGGTGAGTGTAGAGAACCGGAGACCCTTTTTACTGAAAACGAGATATTCCATCTTTATTCCCAGGAATGGCAACTCACCTACATTTTAATATTTAATCGAAGATAGATGTATTTACATGTCTATGGGCTACATCATCCACTTACGAACAGATAGACCTTTGTCACCCTTATTCTATTAAATAAGCCACTACAGTTATGACGTTCGTGACTAAGTTCTCACATACACGAGGATAATAAATTACATTTTGCAATTTCAACGGTCTCGTCGCCGATCATGGAATCATCAATTTTATTTTAGCGAAACTTTTGAATATTTTTTTTTGAAAACAAAGCCTGTCTGACCAAAACAAATGAAACAGTAAATTTCCCAAAGGAGCTTTTGACAGAATACAATCGGATGAGACCACGAAATTAACAGTTAGTAAACGTACGCTTCGTTCTTTCAATGTGTAGCTTCCATCATTGTATACCCTGCAAGTAATTTGTTTTTATATGTATTGCACTACCATTCATTCTCTACAAATCTTCACTGGCGTATGCATGATGTTTTTTTGAAATAACCCTTTATTATGTTAAACTGTTAAATGCGCATTAATAACCGCACCTGTTCAAGAAATAAAGCTTAATAGTGTGTGGTTATAATATTTATTTAATCTGTAAATTTATTCTTATTTTAAGACACGTAAATAATTGATGTAACCTTCAAGCCTCATAAGAAACAAGACGTCCAATAGAAACAATTAAAAAATAAAGTTTTAATATGTTGACATTAGTTTTAATGGAAAAATTGTTTGTCCGCGATAAACTCTAAACTACTAAACTGATTTCAATGAAATTTTGCATTCTGTGTGCAGTTTAGTCCCACTTGAGAGATAGGATAGTTTTTATCCCGATAAGTGACCCTCAATTTTTTTATTGCTAATCTCAGGAGTTTTTTTTTTAGGAAAGCAAATGTTCGTCGAAAAGGGCAGAACACGGAGGACGACTCACTGGCCCACGACGCAAAAGAGAAGGCCGACCTTTTAGGCTCCCTTTTTGCGTCCAACTCGACTGTTGATGACGGGGGGAACACACCGCCGACCATCCCGCGATGTGAGTACTCCATGCCGGATGTGCGGTTCTCACAGCGCTCGGTTCGCAGAGCACTCCTCTCCCTTGACATCCACAAGTCGAGTGGGCCTGACGGAATCCCCCCAATTGTGCTGAGGACGTGTGCTCCGGAGTTGGCACCGGTTCTAACGCGTCTTTTCCGGTACTCCTACTCCCTAGGCGTAGTCACAAAATGATGGAAGACAGCTTTTGTCCACCCGATCCCTAAAAAAGGCGACCGCTCAGACCCGTCCAACTACAGGCCTATCGCCATCACCCCCTTATTCTCCAAAATAATGGAATCCGTTGTAAACTGCCACCTCATGCGGTACCTTGAGGATCACCAGCTGATTAATGACCGCCAGTACGGTTTTCGTCGGGGTCGATCAGCTGGTGATCTTCTGGTCTACTTAACTCATAGATGGGCGTTGGCAGTAGAGTCCAAGGGGGAGGCATTGGCCGTTAGTTTGGACATTGCGAAGGCCTTCAATCGGGTTTGGCACAAAGCACTTCTTTCGAAGCTCCCTTCCTATGGGCTTCCCGAGAAATTATGCAATTGGATCACCAGCTTTCTTGCAGATCGGAGCATCAAGGTCGTTGTAGACGGTGCATGCTCCGACTACAAGCCTATTAACGCTGGTGTTCCACAAGGCTGCGTGCTATCACCAACGCTGTTTCTTCTGCATATCAATGATATGTTGCAAGCCGGTAGCATTCATTGCTATGCGGATGACAGCACTGGTGATGCTCTATACACCGGCCGTGCCAATATTTCTCGGGAAAACGTCACCGAGTACCGGAACAAACTTGTGTCTGAAGTCGAGTCTTTGCTGGACAAAGTCTCGGATTGGGGGCGACTAAATCTAGTCCAGTTTAATCCTCAGAAGACACAAGTTTGCGCGTTTACCGCTAAAAAGAACCCCTTTGTCGTATCTCCTCAGTTTCAAGGTACTCCCCTTGTTGCCTCAGCCAGTATCGGAATCCTCGGCGTCGACATATCGAGTAGCGTGCAGTTTCGTGGTCACTTGGAAGAGAAGGCCAAATTGGCCTCTAAAAAGCTTGGCTTGCTCAGCAGAGCGGGACAGTATTTCATGCCGGCTCAACGCCTGCAACTTTACAAGGCGCAGGTTCGGCCTCACATGGAATACTGTTCCCATCTCTGGGCTGGGGCTCCCCAGTGCCAGCTTCTTCCACTTGACCGCATCCAGCGCAGAGCGGCTCGAATCGTCGACGACCGAGTCCTTTCCGATCGGCTCGACTCATTGGCACTGCGAAGAGATGTTGCATCTCTTAGCATTTTCTTTCGCATTTACCATGGGGAGTGCTCTGAGGAATTGTTCGGATTAATCCCAGCCGCCAAATTTCACGAACGCACATCGCAGCAGAACTCCCGATACCATCCACACCATCTGGATGATTGGCGGTCCACCACGGTGCGATTTAGAAGATGTTTTCTTCCTCGCACAACTTCCGTGTGAATAGTTTACCACCAGCGATTTTTCCAGACCGATACGACTTAGGGACCTTCAAGAAAAGAGCCTACTCCTTTTTAAAAGGCCGGCAACGCATCTGCAATTCCCCTGGTGTTGCGGTTGTTCATGGGCGGCGGAAGTCACTTACCATCAGGTGAACCGCATGCTCGTTTGCCCCCTCTCCTATAAAAAAAAAAAAACAACGTCTGCTTGGTGAGCTAGTTATATATAAAAAATACGTGTCACGTTGTTTGTCCGCGATGGACTCCTAAAATACTGAACTGATTTCAATGAAATTTAGCACACTGTGTGCATTTTGGTCTAACTTGAGAGATAGGATAGTTTTTATCCCGATAAATGACCCTCAAAATTTTTTATTGCGAATTTAAAGATTTTTATAGGAAGGGTCGTCGGAAAGGGTAGAACAACGTCTGCCTAGCGAGCTAGTATAACCTTATATTCTTTAAACATATATATATAAATATATTTATATATTATGTGAATAAGTATTGTGAAAGTGTGTATGTTTTGATGTTTGTTATAGCAAATACGTTGAAATGGACGAAGGGGTTTCAATTAATTTTTTTATAAAGTTACATTATCTATTACACATATTGGCCACACTGGTCACCATACGTTTTTTTATGCCACAGGTGCTCAATCTTCGTTATTATAAAATCGAAAATTCATATTTTAATTTTCAAGTATTTATATTTTTGTATAATTGACGGTGTAAGAAAGAATATCCACTACCCCATGTCTATATCACAGTGAACGGATGAATTATACGAATATCCATCCTGGTAATACCCTCCGTCGTTAACTTATGTTCGGTATATTATATCATATAGGATTTTCCGCCGTCACGCATTCGTCACAGCTATTTTCCTTATTTAGGAGAGTACAAACGAGGTTGGCACGTAAAAGTTCTTATTCCTTTTTGTTATAATATACAGTTACTGTACATTACGACAAATGCGAACTTCGATTAAATATAATTTAAAAATGAACAATTTTGCTTAACATTCATTGGGTTCATAGTTTTATGGCAGATTTTATTCAATTTAAAGACATTCAGTAACCGTGTGGAAAGTTTTCTAAGCACTACAAGTGTTTATAACGGAAGAGCGAATGTTAAACAATGCTTGCTATTTGTAACAAATTAAAAGGCTACGCAAGCGGAGCATTTAATAGCGGGTACTTCGTAACTGCTTCTGTGTCAAAGTTTGATAACTAAAGCTTTTACGTTGTATTTTGAATTGATTGGATTTGTTTGTTCTATTCAAAGTTATGTAAGCAAAGGTTTGGTAAGAAAAAACCTCAGACAACTCAACAGTTATACATTACTTTTAAGCACCATTCCAAAAATAGATAAATACATTAAATTTATTTAATAAATTTTCAAAGAAAATCTTTTAAACTAAAACCTCATATTTATAATTTATTTCAATGTTAGATTGTTCTTTAATGTTTTCTGTAGATCACATTCTCTACTATCGAGATATTATATAGCAAAATATAATATTTAAATTGTAATTAAATTACTTTTACAGTTCGTGAACAGCCTGGGGGCGGCGGAGCATACTCTCTATATTACGCTTATAGATTAAATTTAATTAAGGCATAAGTACCACTTCAAAAAATACTGGTTAAATGAAAACAATCATAATATCATAATGTTGGTTAAGCAGTGTAATGTCAGCGCAAGATAATACACTACCTCACACTATCCTATGGATGTCGTGAGGGGAGACAGAGGGAAACTAAAACAGTAGATGGGAAACAGGATTTCCCTGATAACAGCTCAATTTACCAAAAATCTGCGGTTGCCAACCCGCCTCCGTGGCAACTATGGCTAATATTTTAATACTGTGGAAAACTAAGCTGCCATAAAGATATTTTAGTAAATCGACGCACATCGACATCAAGGCACAAGGCACAAACTATGTAATCTGACCTTGCCTAGTATAATTACTTAATAGTGGAAATTGCGTCACGATTAGAACAATTATAATCTGAGGTAAGCTAAGATGCTATTACAGATATGAAGACAATTAAAACTGAACCATATCCGAAAACCAAAGTCATATTTTTAATTAAACGAAGCTGCCTGACGTTTACTGGGTTGTCAGGTTTTGATTAATCAAAAATAGTGTTAGTAGTGACTAAATGACTGAAAGGAAAAAAAATGACTGACTGATAAAGAAAACGACTGAATGGTAATTTTTTTTAACTGAAGGTTTTAAAAATTACGTCAAGTCTTATTTAAGGTACATCCATGTTGTCGGTTCATCAGGCGAAAATTATCCATAATGTATGTCGTCATGGGGATTTCATAAGAAAAAACTGTGCTTAAGTATTACATTTTTTTATTCATCGTCATCAGATATAATATCATCACTGTCACTGTCAGTAAATTTATTATAAACTTGTTTGAGACACTATCGATCATGTGGTCGAGAATAAACATTTTGTCTTCTTCTTTTATTATGTGAGCCACGCAGCTACTACACTTTTCGGCAGTCACTTCATTTAGTCTTTCTTCGAAAAGTTTTTTTATATCTTTCATTTTGAAGGTCTTGTTGTTTCTTGCAACATACTCTTTGACCTGCGCCCAAATCAGCTCAATGGGATTGAGCTCACATTGGTAAGGAGGCAAACGTAAAACAGTGACTCCACGCTCCGCTGCCATCTCGTCCACGGCATACTTGTCGCAGTGTTCATGTTTGTGTTGCCGTACAATATCCATAAGAGTAGCTTTTACCATTTGTGTCTCGAATGGGATAATTTTGCTCGCCATCCACTCTTGTATTTTTAGTTTATTCCAAGACATTGAAGGCAGCGATTCTAACTTTCTGGAGTAATAGGGGGCATTATCTATTACCACTACGGAATTAGGTTTTAGTTTGGGTAAAACCCCACTAAACCACTCCTCAAAACACTCAGCATTCATCTCTTGATGGTAATCTTCTTTTTCTTTTTTAGCCTCAAACACAAGTAAGCTATCTTCTACAAATCCTTCTTCCCCGCCTATATGGCTATTAATTAGCCGTTTGACTTTTTCTGAAGGCCCTTTTAAGCCGGTGGTCAACCCTTCTAAGAATGCCTGCCGGGACAATTGTACAGTTTGGTCAATCCATAGCTTCTTCGGTGTATGACCTTCGAGAAAATGAAAAATACCAATTACTCATTAAATTCAGCGGTAGCATGCAATACCTACACTGTAATAGATAAATAAAACAATGAAAATTTAATTACCTTCGTTGATCCAAGTCTCATCTTGGTAATAAATGTACCTTCCTTCACTGCGATAATCTTTAATTTTTTTAAGGCATCGCTGGCGCTACAAAACAATATCGCGTCTATCTATTAGCACGCTTTTTCTTGATTTTGTGGCGTATTTGAAATTTAAGTGTTTTAAAATTTTCCTCAAGGTCCCCAAGAGAAGTTCGGTTAATCTGGGTCATCATTAACAACCTTAAGAATCTGTAATTTAAACAGATTATGGGTAAGAAAGTCTACACATTAAAAAAGTCAAATAGAACTTTAAAAAACGTTATGTGTGCGTGAGCGTGTAAATATGCAGCTTTGATTTGTGTGATAGTGACGCGACAGTCGTCGTCACGCACACTGTATCTATAACAAGCTTTACGTAGATGTAAAAAAATAACACTAAAGTTACAATTGCAATGGAGGGTGCCTCACTTGCATAATTATTGGTGTACTTTTCGCATTATAGCCGTTAAGGTGAAATCGTCTAATTTATTCTTGAAATTATGTTTCGGTCTAAGTTTTTCAGAAGACTTAATTACTCGTTTTTTTTTTGTATTCATTTAATACACTGAACACTGTGGTCATACCGATTCCCAAAATTTCAGCTGTCATAGAAACATATTTATTTCCGATACTTCATTAGGTAATACCGAAGCAGTTTCCTGCTCAAATACGTATTTGTAGACATTGCGTACCATAAGCTTTTCGGTAACGCGAAGGCAAGCCCGTGGTCTCTTCTTTTTTTTTTGAGAAAAAGAGATTTTGCTCGACGTGCTTGGTTGAGGTTCTATATCGTTTGTACGACACAATATAAAAACACAATAACTCAACAATAACAAACAACACAAACACAACGTAACAAAAAAACTTAACAAGAAACTAAAGACAAGCAACAGGAGAACAGCGCGCAGAGAAAATATTCGAGCGATCAGACCAGAGGTTAGAAGCCGAATGAATGACAAGACAAATGACACAGAAAATGGCAACCGACACGGCGGTCGCAGGGTGCGTTCCGAAAGTCAGAGCGCCCCCTCGAGTCAGAATAGTATTAAATTATTATTCTTACGAACAATATTTTTTCTGTTTATTTCAATGATATAATATTCGTCAACAAGTTTTACAATGTCAATCAAAATAGGTTAATTTAATTTTAATCATAATCATCAACTCATCGTATACTAACTGACTGACTGAACGCATCACTATTACAATGAACCTGGCAACATTATTTCACAAAGTGACATTAGCATCTGTCAGGCAACCTCGTTTAATTAAAAATAAGATTTTAGCCGCTTTTTTTGTGCTGACTAAACGCAACAACAACAAATGTTGCTGGGACTAAAACCATTATAGAGTATATCATACAAGATATATAGAATTACATTGGTTTATTACGTGGTAAAGCCATGCTGCGGCTATATTGCGGTTGTAGTACAAATGGGTCGTTCGACCGGGGAAGGACCACGCACTCACTGAATACCAGCGTGAAATAACAGTTTAATTCTGATGTATGTTGTGTGTACATTTTGATTCTTAATCGAAAATAGACGTAAATGTCTATAGACCACAGTATCTATTTATCACAGAATGGACTATGAGCTCGTTTGTCACTCTAAGGCGGCATTTCCACCAGAGATGTGCGAGGATGCGTAGCGATGGATGTGTTTGTTAAGAACTAATAGAATCAGTTCATTTACCTAGCCTCGCTCAGTCCAGCTCTAGTGAATACGGGTCAGCGAAGCGAGGTTTTTGTACATACAAAACAATAGCTTGTTTCCACCAGAACTGCGCTGAGCGAGGCTAGGTAAATGAAGTGATTTCATTGGTTCTTAACAAACATATCACTCGCTACGCATCCTCGCACATCTCTGGTAGAAACGCAGCCTTATTCTATAAAAAACCTATTTTACATTATATACTTATGCAATGCGGAGACAGGTACGCGGGAAGAGAGTTGTTTAAATAGATTTTATTCTATACAGTGTCTAATAGAAACAGTATAACATAACTTATCAGTATATAGACATGTAATTTAATTTGTAACAAAAGAAATTATAGAGAATCCCGCCAAGGCGATCCTCATTCGAGAGCATTCAGATCATTGGTCCATTTACAGATGAGCATCCGAGCGTTATTTCAATGAACATATAAGTCCAGCGTGTAGTTGTTATTTCTAGGGCTAGTCGATAAACAGTAAAACACGGCTCTTTTTTTAGGGTTCCGTATATGTAATCACTTTGTTTTATGGGATCACTTTGTTGTCCGTCCATCGGTCTGGCCACCTGTTTGCCTGTCCGTGTGTCATGGCCGTTCTTTTCAAGAAAAAATAGAGGCATCAAGATTAAATAAATATTAAATACTAAGGTATACAATTACTTAGACTTATATAAAATCAGTTCAAGTTTCTAAGTCAACGTAAACCAAAAATACGGTCATTTATATCACTTATTGTTATACCCTCAAATTCACTCACAAAACTACCATATATAAGATTAATATATTAAATTTAAAATTTAAAAATCAACTGTGACTTAAAGCGATGTACGAGGAATATTTTTTTCGCTGCCAAGTTACCAAGCTTACCTTTAAACCGAATTATCTTTTTGTTTAGTACATATGTGATCAATGATTTATGTATTTCAGTAACGTAATTATTTCCATGAAAGTAAGTACTTTGGTTTTTTTTATAGGATAGGGTGACAAACGAACACACAGTCCACCTAATAGTAAGTGGTTGCTGTGACCCATAGACATCTACATTTACCCTCGTTTGCAAATCAAAATGCAGATGCGTTGTCACCCGTGTAAAATGAGTCTCTGGTTCTCTACACTCACCATACGAAACACAGCAGTGTTATGCTGCTATTTTACGCTGGTATTATGTGAGAGCGTGGTCCTTCCCCGGTCGAGCCGACCCATTTATGCTACAACTGTATTACTAATATAACTGCAGCATGACTCTACCACGTATAAAACGACATAGTTTACATGAAACCCTCAAGGCGTGAGTCCTACTCACACTTATCCGGTTTAAAATAATAGTAACAGTAAATAAAAATTATATAAATGTAAATGGTACTTAAGACAAACATTAGATCAAATCGAACTTTTCATCAAATTTCATCCAAAACTCATATCACACTATCCTATCTAAAATTATTATTTGAATTATAATACAGAAACAGTGAAAGAAGAAGCCCCGTGCTGTAACGGGTAAGAATACTCACTGCCCCATATCTTCCCGTGGGTGTCGTTAAAGTCGACAGAGAATATGATTTCTGATAACAGCAAAATAACAAAAAAAACTGCGGTTGCCAACCCACTCGCCAAACGTGGCAACTATGGCAATATTCCCCCCATGAATAAAGATACGAAGAGACGGGCCTCAGTGACCGCCGGCCCCGCTATTCCTGGCTACTTTGGCGACCATGGTAACGGCTTGGCAGGTGGTGCTAAGAATGTCCGGTAGAGGTTCTGTTGCCACCTACTACGGCTCATACCTGGCAACATATAACCGGGAGGGTGACCTTCAGTCCCAAGGAGGTGTCAAATTTATCGTCCGAAGTCTCTCGTTAACAACGTTGTAAAGATTGAGAGTGTGTCGATGAGGGTTGCGTACCTTATACTTAAAATCAACAAACGGTATATGCTGTCGGTCTTCATGGAGAAACAGAGACTCTTTATGATGAACTCTTTCTTCCAGAACCGGCTCCACAGGAAGTGGACTTGGCCGATCCCCGACGGTTCGACAAAAATGAGATTGACTTCATTATGGCGACCAGACGACAATTGTTCAGTGATGTTTCAGTTATCGCGAGTGTGAAAACCGGCAGCGATTGCCGAATGGTGAGAGGCACTCTGAACCTAAAAGTTAAGTTGGAGAGGTCACGTCTAATGAAGTCAACTCTCTGTCCCCCTCATGCTCTAATCCTAAGTCCCGAAACCTTTCAGCTCGAGCTACAAAACCATTTTCAGTGCCTAGAAATTGCAATACAGCGGACGATGTGAATGACAAGCTCGTGAAACTGCCCATGCAGTCGGAGCTAAGTTTTGTAAGACCCGCCGCAGAAGAACTCTCCGATCACACTCTTAATCTTATGGCTATTAGATGGGAAATGAAGCTGCAGTCTTTAACAGAATTGACAGCAAACAGGCAACTGAACAGACAGATCTCCAAATGCATGCGTCGAGACTTACTTAACTTCAATACAGGTCGTATTGAAGAAGCGATCAACGGAACCATGGCTCCAAAGTCTTTGCCAGAGTCTGTCTTCCAGAAAGAGTCGTCTGTCGAGGTTGAAGACCAAGGGTGGCAGCATCGTTTCGGGACACCTGAGGTTTTGAGTGAGATTGAGAAGTTTTATGGGCAGCTTTAGACATCATCGTTGGTGCCATACGCAAGTGTGAGTAACGATCCAATAGCAAGTCTTATCCGACATTATTCCGATGATATTCCGGATGTCAGTGTGAGCGAGATTAGAATGGCTATTCAGC